GTTAGTTTAACTGTTTTAAGTGTCAGTAATTTTGAGGGGTGATGGTAACTGGAAACCTACTGTGTTCCATGTGTTCCTCAGTACAGTGCACGACATTACAATAGAAATGATGAAATTAAATCTTGTATAATAAGGCTGTTTTTGGTATACCAACGGTTTGATTTTATATCAACGGTTTGATTTTACGCATAATTTTTACAATAGAACAGTTAGGCAGTATGTGATGTCAACCTCAAAATGGCCTTTTACAGTGAAATATGTGCTACTTTGGAACATTTCAACTTGCATTGAACCATGGGAAAAGGTAGACTCAGATTATACTTGCCTCAAACAAAGAACAACTCATACTATTATTAAGACTTACCGTAATAAATGCTGTGGATACCAGTATTTAGGTTTATAATTATAGTTTTTGCATTAACAGAAATAATTATTAAATTGACAATAACAATTATAATTTTAGCATGCTCTTCCCTACAAGACAAGGTTCATTTTGTATTGTGCAACACCACGTCAGGTGATCATCACCAAGTTGAATATGATATTGAAGATATTGAGAATTGTCAATAAGTTGATGAAACCCATTTATTATTTCCCTTTTAGGCATCCGAAATGAGTGGTTTGAGTTTCAGTGAAATGGATTACATTGACGGAGATGAATACACGTCCATGGTGGACATCCATGAACTTGAGGATATAGCATCAGTTGGTAGTGGTAGTATTATCAGTGATATTGATTGGTCTGTTATTGAAAAGATGGTTGCAGATGTCAAGTAAAACTTAAACATGTCTACTAGGGGTAGGCACATATCAGTGATGAGGACAAGACAACATGAGAAGTTGTCTGCAAACAAATACTCGCCATGGAAATTGATAGGTTTGATATTCCTCACAGCGACAGATTTGTCCTCAATTTATATTCAAATAAAGCACTGTATTTACACCCTCGGATTTCTTCCCACCCTTGGTAAATATTTGAGAAGTTATAAACCTGTGAATAGGGAATTTGACATGGTTTGGGAAAAAATGTAAAAATGTGACTCATAGTCCATACTGTGCTCCCTTTGTTGAAAACACAGATTGATGCATTGTTTTTGTCTAAGTTTTATAAATCGTTGTCATTTGTAATGGTTTCTGACTTTTTCACAGAATTTTCTGATGCACTATTTGTTTGTTCCTGGAGTATATATTGCCAAATTACATAAAACCATGTCATTCTTCGCTGTTATCGCATTTGAAGTAGTCATATTTACATCATGTGGTTTCAGTGAAAATTGCAAAATCAAATAAATTTACAAATTTAGCATTTAATTACAATTTCACTCTTATAAATTTTAAAAATAATACCATAATCAATATTCTGCTGATAATGGGTAAAAAATAAAGTAATTCATATAATTAATAATAAATTGTGCTAAATAATTTTAAAAGTCTTCCAAATTGATAATTTTATGTAATAATTTATTGTGACACTTTGAAATTGATTTTTTTCTTATTTTTGTGCTATTTAAGTAAAGAAAACCTGTATTGACAGTTTTCATTAATATTGAAATTTTACAAGATGACTTTGTCCAGTTTGCAACACTTGATATGTGCTCAAGCTAACATTTAATGTCACACTAAATTTGATTGGTCTGCTAGGCAGTCAGTCACATGTGGAGTTTTAACCAATGAGTGTAATTCTTTTAAACAAAATAAGCTCACCATTACATGATATCTGATTGATTAAAACTGATATGTTTTAAAGGTTAAGTAAAATTTTTCAAATTATTTTCGTTTAAATTTTCATATGAAACCTATTGGTGCTGCTCAAATGTCATTGTGTTTTTATTCAGCTGCTGTAATATTTGCCCAATCATTAACACATGCACTTATGTATATGGCAGATGTGTGTTAGTCAAACTATAGGCAGATTCATTGATACTTGATATATATATATATATATATATATATATAGTGTGTGTGTATTAATATCTGTAAATTAATAAAAATTAAATTTCTCTGATGGGCTGTGTTAAATGAAGAAAAATAGAGTCCCTGTTCTGATGTTAGTTTTTAGTTAGTTTTAAATTAATTTAAATGAAAGAGGGCGTTACATTTCTAGTTAAGACTATGCTAAATAAGTACTTAAGTTACATGATTTAATATTTCATATTCAAATTTTCCTCAATCAAGAAGTAAATATTTTATTTTTGTATTTTGTTAATTTATTTGTTATCTTGGAATTGTAAAATGTGTTTTAAATAATAATTTACATGATTTTAATGCAAATATGCCACTTTTCATTAATATAATTTTTGTTTTACTTGTAATTTGCTGATGTGTTAAAATGTGTCACTTTCTTTCCTCGTGTCAATTTTATAAAGTTTGCTAAACTGGAATACAGTAGTTTTACCTACAATTTATAGTTGTATTTCGCAGTCAGACTCAATTTAGCAGTCAAAAAATGGGAAAAATAACTAAAAAATATATTTCAGATAAAGCACCGTCCCACCTTTGCCTGTGTACAATGCATAGGAGGGGCTTGAGACAGTGTCAATTATACAAAGAACTGCTCAGAAAAACAAAAGAATTTCCTTTTCCTGCCTCTTGGGCATTAAATTGGATATATTTTAAATAATAGAAATGGTTGATGGGGGGTAGTAATAATATAATAACTAAAATTTCACACCAAAGTACAACTTGTTAATCTTTTTATCACATTCTCTTTTCTTTTTGATAGTTAAACACTTTGTACATTTGTAAACAAACTTTACTTACAGTCTTTTTCTACTCAACAGTAACATTCAGATGTTTTTAATATTTCAATGACTGACATGAATTACTAAATCTCATACTTGTTTTGTATATATGAAAATAAATTGAGGTTACAATGAATTTGTTTTATTTTATTTTATTGACAAGGTCCCATGCAAATTGAGAGCTGTGATTCCTAGCTATGCTTTGCAGCATGTATACATGGTTATTTACATATGCTGGGTTTGGTTAGGATATTAGGATATAGAAAATGTCTGTTCACCAGATCTTATTTTGAGAAACAACTCTGAAACATTGCAGAAAATGGCAAAACGTTATTTGTTGACTCCTGTGTGCATAGCACACAATGGGAGTCTTGGGGATTAGTCAGTCTGTATGTTTTTATGTCTGTTCCACCACTGTTTGTCTGATTTCTAAGAAACTTACTGTGTGGGTGCCCTGGGACAAAGCACAGATCTGATTAGGTTAATGTTGAAATCTTGCATATTAATTAACCAATTTGCATAATAATTCATAAATTTTCAGCCCTTCTACTGACATTCAAGAATAAAACTTTGTCTCAAAAAAGTCATGTGACCTCATTAATATGCATAAAAACACTGCAGATTGGACAAAACAATCATTGCAATATTGAATGCATTGGCAAGAGATGTGGCTAACATAACATTTTACCATATTTGGTCATGTGGTCTTGTGGCACATTCAAGAAAAATAAAAATGTACAGACCCCCCCCCCCCTCTCAAATGTTCATTTAGTTAAAGGACGATGGTCATTCCGCAGCGTGTGTTGCTTTGAGTCCCATATATTGAACAGTACGCTGTGTGACAACCATCACCCTTTAACCAAACTTTGTGTTACGAAAAAAATAGATTTTTTGTTTAGTTTAACATTGTATGTTTACCATAACTTGAATTTCAGTTAACTGTTGAGTTACTAAATTCGGACGTTAAACAAAAAATAAAATGTATGTTGCTCATAAGTTCTGTTAATTGATAAGTTACGATTTTGGCGTAGTTTCGCAAAAGTGGTTGTGTTTCTATAATATTCGTAACTCAATGTTTTTGTAACTTGATGTCCAAAACTTGAACAATTCAGCATCTCCTACCTCTTACCGTATCGTTAACATAATTTCGATAAGAATTAATTTGTTCCAATTTGTGTTTTTGCACCTGTATTGTTTTGCGATTAAGTAGTTACCAGTCTTGCATGTTCAAGAGGAGGCTTCGGATTTTTCTAAAAGCTAAAAAACGCTTGATGTCACAGATCCTCAAAACTATCAAAATAAAGCAATGGATTCAATTGGATGGGATGCACATCTCGGACATTTCTTTCGTTTTTATCATACCTCAGACATGGTAGTTGGTGTTAATGTAGTGAGACACACGCTAGATTTCAAATACTTTTATTCGTGTACATTCAACCAGAACTACTAATTCCATTTGGAATTACAGCAAAATAAAACGATGCAATATTCCCCATGTTCTCCAGAAAAAAAAAGAAATAGTAAAACAATTTCCAAAATCCATGAGTTTTCACCAAAGTGCAGTACTTACTGCATTGCTGTATTAATCTCGGACCACAGTGTCACATAAGGGCTTTCATATCATTCCGCCATAGTACATTGTTTTGAGCTTCAACGATGTAAATAACCACAATCGGTGTGATTCGGTCTTCGCTTACGACCCTCACCAATGTCATAAATAATGTCATCTGATCACACACATTATGGACATGACAGTCACCAATGTAAACATAGCAACTAAGCTAATAACAGTTGACAGATTTAAAAGGGTATCAATTACGTGTTCGCCAATTTTTGTTTTCGTAATTTTTAATCACAAAAATAATGTTAGTGCAGATGTATCTCTTGGTATACTGTCTTTGTACAAAATTTAAACAAACGTTCATTGCATTCAAGATAAAGTAGCATGGGTACCATGAAAAACAAGATGGTCGCCAGTCGGCCATATTTGTTTGAATCACGAAAAAAAATGACGTGCACCTACAACCCAATATGTATGATCATCATACCAACTTTGATCCGAATCGGCCCAGTCATCTCTGCGATACTGCTGCGGACAGGTTTAGGTATCAGAAATAGCAAATTTTACATCCAAAATGGCCGCCAGTCGACCATTTTTCTTCTATCATAAAGTAACTTGACGCACATATGTAAGACATTATGTATTGTCTTCATGTAAAGTTTGAATGAAATCCGTCAATGGGTGTCCGCGATACAGCTCCGTACGGACAGACAGGACTATTAAATAGCTAGAACAAACTATTTTTCAGCTGTTTAGGTGATGCTCACTTGTGTGTAGACTAGATTAGTCCCTAACGTATATGGCTACCATTCATGTTATACAATTCCCTCAATGGTATTTCATATTACTGGTATACATAGGGAAACGAACGGCTTGACGGGTGCCTGCTGACTCACAGTAGCATAGAGACTGGTACCTAGTCTAACATGTGCACATGTATAGCCTGAATATCTTAAATAGTCATCAAAGGTCGTTTTGGCTCAGTATTACATGGTTTCAAAGTTTCAAAACACGCAGCAGTACTGTGTAATTGAAACTAAACATAATTATTCATGGTTGTGTGAATATATTAACGCATGTTTTATCATTTATAGAAATGTACATTGTACTTCGTAAATAATATACATATACGAGGGGAGGCAAGGGGGGTAGCTGGTACGGTTTTACGGGAAATTAAAAGGTTTTTTTATAATTTACAAGGAAAAAAAACGTGTTTACAGTTTACAGTGTTAAAAAATGGAACATTGAATGGTCCGAAGAGCTCTCCGACTCAAATTCTCCGCCATTACTGCGCCGTGTGTCGTAATGCTCTTCATTCGGTTAGAGGGCCTTTTACGTCTTGACATTCAATTTCGTAGGGAATTGTGTCATTTAGTAGTTTTTCGGTTTCTAAAATGTAATTTCCCTGGATTATTTTTTATGATTTTTTTATTTGGATGTAAATTCTTGTACGTACCGAGAAAAATGACACATTTTTACAGTGTACGAAAAAAATATTTGATTGATTACGTTGTACGTCTAGCCTGTGATTACAGAATTACGGAATGTATTTGTTCTATTTACGTTGTACGAACAAAAAATATTGCAATTACGTTGAACGAAAATAACCCTTGCCCCCCCCCCTCATATACCCTCTGTGAACTTGACACATGGATATGGTGACGCGGTTCACAGTGTTATCCGAGGACGACCAAGTTCAGTGTAAATACTGTTCAATTTTGATTATTTCAGATACAACACAGAATGGTCATCAATATTGTAATCTTCACACACGTCGCCGTTCTTCATTTCAATACCATTGTGATATATTCGCTGTACTTTTTTGGGAATGCCAACTTTTTGTTCTATCCAAGACTTGATGTGTTTAAGAGTTGATTTTCTGTAAACGTTCACTCGAAATGTCTTTCCACTTAACATAAGAATCTGAACCGGTATCGCCCTTAAAGTAAATATTACCTGTGACCCATCGTCTATGTTGTAATCTTCGAAGGTCAAAGTGTCAACGTTAAGTTGTTTGTGTTCACACGTAAGAGAAATCCATACAGGCTGTACATGAAACAATTCGTGAATCTTCATTTTGACTCGGTGGATGGTCTCTTGAGGGCGCACATTCCGCAGCACAACTTCGCCTGTTTCCCAGGTAACGCACACGAGGTCAACGTACATGATGATGGTTTTCCCCTTTTGGGCGTAAGGGGCGACTCTGTCGTAGTTCGTTAAATAGACATCGTCCAGGACGAGATGCTGTCGTTCAGCCTCGACCCCAGACATTTCTTCTAACTTTCTTTTCAACTTGACTACATTGTCTCGTGGGTCCAGGTCCACGTTGTACATTTCCTCGTCAAAATCTAGTCGTGACTTTCGTAAAACGGACACCGTGAGCACCAGACTTAACACACTGTTCTCCCAAATATGGTAGTCCGCCAAACATTTGGAATTTTCCAACACTTTCCCAGAAAACACAATCCTTTGCATCTCTGGAGCTATTCCAAGTTTCTCGTTCACCAACATCTTGATTTTCTTGATGGAGTCTGCTTCTCCGACTTGCAAAGAAATCGTTTTATCCTTAAAAGACCGCACCATGATATTATAGCGCATCACCATGTGCAAAGTTGACGCACTCTCTATTCCGTATTCGCGTAGAGTCCGATTATTGTCCAAGTTAATACCGCCATGGACCAGTCGTATCTGGTGTGGGGGTATACCTTCCTTGTCGTAAATCCTCGCCTTAACAGCGGCGATTGTATCTTCCATTTCCGCGGCGATCACATGTGTGTCGTCGTCCACGGTTTTAATAATCAGCGGCAAGACCCCCTCAGGTACTTCCAGCTTGAGATCCACTTTCGATTGGTCATAGACGTTTTGTTCCCGTAACGTGAAGTGGTCCTTCAGCAGTTTGCCATTATAATAAAACTGTTGCCACTCTGACGGGATTCCTTCTCTTCGTTTGACCATCTCTTTGATATCGTCTACCGTTTTGGATTTGCGTATACGGAGAGAAAACGGACGGAATTTCTGTGGCGTTACGCGCCGGCCGCGTCCACCCGGAGTGCTGCCCGGACGGATAATGTACTCGGAAAGTTTTTGAACCCTGCCAGACTCGACCTCTTTTTCTTTTTCGAGCTGTCTCAAGGACTCCTGCATATGATCTGTGTATTGAAGTGCTTGGTCTCGACTCTCAAATGCCTCATCGCGCTCTCTTTGTAAAGCTTTGATCTTTGATTCAAGTTTTTCGATCGCATCGCCAGCTTCGATGATCAGTTTGGTGGCTCTGTCCAGGTGTTGTGATTGCATGTCAGTTCTTTCTGGCATGTCGATACCCAACCATCTTTCATAACGGTCTTTGACAGAAGTATTCAATTGATCTTCGAGCTTTGCCAAACTTTCTGAAACTTTCGGAAGAGGCGTCCGGCGCGAACTTTGTAGACTTTCTCGTGTGCCTGTAACCGGAGATTGCGTTGACCTTGAAGTAACCGGAGAGCGCAATGATCTTGAAGTGATCGGGGACATGATGTCAGGTAGAGGAGTTTTTTTGTATTTAGCTGGTTTCGGTGAATTTGAGCTTGGCCTGGGAGATCGGAAGGATACCTGTTTTGTCGATGTTGGTGGTAGCGTCATATCTTCTTCACGTTGACTGCAAGGTGTGCGGGATGGCGTTTGGTCGCGTGAGGGCGCCGGACTCTCTGGATCTATTTGAATAAAAGAGACGAAAACAATTGAGAATTATTGAAATCAAGGATATGGATTGACTATGGATATGGTACGATCGGGATGTGCCATCATTTATACATGGGTGGTTGGGTTAGGTTGCTTAATTATTTTGAGGGACATTGTTTAAGTCTCATAAGTTGTACAGCCCATGTATCTTCAAAGTTGGCACAGAGAGATTATTTTTATCTTATTTCCTTTACTGATTTTCGCTAACGAATCCTCAATTATAGACTTTAAAATAAACAATTTATCTGATGTTCGACTGTTTTGCTTAAACCATTCTGTTGCTCAAAATGAATATTACATTATTCAAGGTGGGTGTTTAAGAAAGAAGGTGTGAAATATGCCGATTTAGATTAGTCTTGGATACGGCGTATGTTATAAAAACATCTCATGCTTCGGGATTAAACAGTTGTCAGGTACCTACTGAATACATCATCAGAACCTACCATTTCCTACTTTCGTTGTAGGTCTCGATACAGCGACCATGGTTTTTACTTCGTCTTTCAGTATTTGATGGGCCAAATGCGGGTACACTTTGCCTATGACGTCACAGAATGAATAGAATGCCTTCTTGCCATCGTAATCTACTCGCATCTTCATGATATCGAACAAAGTCTCCGCCTTCGCTTTCCTGCTAGTATGTTTCTTGATTTCATCCACGTGCCCTTCGGATAGATCCACGGGGTACGCCATCAACGGCATGATGTGTTCCACCCATAAATCCTCAACGACCTCTTCCCGATGCAGAGCCAATATATCTCCATACGCCTCCATTGGGATTTGACCAGACTCTGGAATTCAAAATAGACCACCCAGGCATTTAAACAACATTTCATGTAACACTAGCTAAATGCTATTTATAACTCAAGCCCAATTTGCAGTTATTTAGTTGTTCCTCAAGTGTGTGTGGGATTTTTTTATGAATAGATTTGTTCTTGTGAATTTCCTTGTATACTTTTTTCTGTGTAGATTTGTTTTTCAAATTAATCAACTACCCCTTCTAAAGATGTCAATGGTCAATCCTTTTAATAAAGTAGTTGATAGAATTCATAACCGAAACAGCCTTTTTTACACGAAAAGAACTTACTTTCTATTTTCTTAAGATCTCGTGTAATTTCCTGCATTTTTAATTCCTCCACATCTTTCTTCATTTTCAATGCAATGTCCGTGTGTCCCTTTTTCTTTAGCAATTGTCTGAAAACTTTGAATGCTTTGGGTCCACACGACTGTAACAGAATCACCATTTTGCCCGTCTTGGCTCTCCGAGATTTTTCTGACTCGATGTCTTCAGTCAAAACTTCAGTCAGAATTTCTTCATTTCGGAGATCGTCCAAGAAATCGTCAACGTCTATTTCATCAGCCAGCTTGGCCATATTAGAACTAAGTACTTCTCTGTGTATCTTTTCCATTGTGTACTGTTAGTGGTCGGTCACCTGGAAAAAAGTTAAATTAAGTTTGTATATTCAATACATTCACGGACATTTCAGGATTTTTTTCTTTTTCCCTGACAACTCCTATCGGGGAAATCCTTACGAACTCAAAATATCTACAGTTTCCAGGGGAAATGAATGGGTTCTAAGTTATGTTAGTGTTTCTTTTTTAAACAGTGGACTGACCATCGATTTGTCATGTGACGTGGGATGTTAATTGTATACCGTGTTTACTCGTAAAGTAGGTCAAATGTGGGACTTGCATGCTTCTTTCCTAAAAACACGGTCAAACTTAACAATCTTTAGCATGAATGTTTGACGTCATTACACAAATGAAACAAATGAAAATAATTCTATCATGCTTTATATCTACACTAGTCATATCATTTGTGCATTGTTCATGTTTTGCATTTTGTAACTTTGACACTCAATAAACTAATTAATTATGCAATTTAGATTATACATATGTACAGGGTTAGAGATTATTGTGATCGTATATGTTTCAATATAATTGAAAGACAAACACTGCACCACGCCGACGAAGCTACACAGTGCGTTTACTGCCCAGCGACACCAGTAAAGCCATGTCATCACTGGATCACGGCAAACATATTAAAATAAATGTTATTTAGGAATTCTGCCGGAGATTCAATTCCGGGGGGGGGCAATACATAGAACTTATCTAATGGAAACGTGCCCTTGAAATGGGTCTCATTTTTTGGATTTTAGGTATAAGTATCGGTATAAATATCGGTAATATTTTTCCGATTTGGTATACTTGTGTAAGTGACAGAGGTGTTTCTATGGTCAAAATACATATTTTAATAAATCAATATACAATGAACTATTGGCTTACATGTGCTTCTATTGGAGATGCTCTTCTAATAGAGCAAATGAGGTTAACTGTTTTATTTGGAATAAACAGTGATGACAGAAACTATACTATGGTATAAATATGGGTATAGATTTTGCCATTCAGAAGCACCTCCCTATCCATCTACTAGTATGTATCAACTGCCCCCTCCCGGTATTCAGTTCCCCTCTCGCCCACGCAACGGTTTGGAACGACTCCTCGTGTAAAAACCCTGGCTAGTTCACCTACCGACACAAGGAGTGAAAGTTGTCTGTTAATACAGACTAAACATAAATTATGATCTTCAATAAATCATCGACGATTTGCAGACAATATCTTTCCCTGTGTCCAGAATACATGTATCATACATAGAGATTATATTTCTCGTATTTCCCTAGCTGCAGAACTGCAGCTAGTATTTCCCTCTCTAATTTTGTCTCACTATAGGCTGTCATGTATTCTAGCATTAATATTGGTATTTGCATACGATGTCAATATGCGTTAGGGAACAAAAATAACGTATCATCAATCATTATTACATGTATAATAATAATAATAAACTTCCGGAATATACAATTTACCTGATGTTCTGTTTTCAAACCATGCAACGGTTTGGGATTGCCTATGTACAAGTACATCGAGTCATGGTTGTACATTTTGGGATGGATTTGACATGATTTGTTGAAAGTAAATTGGACATTCAAATCATTCTAGGTGACGAAAGATTGTATACTCTGCTAAAATATCCATAATAAGATTATTTGCAAAAACACTATATGTATCGATCAAGTTAGACGTGGCTTTCATAATCTTCAAAATGTGCAAAATATATAAAAATTTTAATTTTAAATTCCGAATAAAAAAGGGTCAGTGTTTAAAATAATGTAATACTGCTTGCATTTGAAGAAGTGAGAGAGAGAGAGTAAATTATTTAATGAAAGATTTCTCATTTGAGTTTTGAGACCGTTCAAACTCATGTGAACTGCTAAGTTATTTAAAAATATTTGGCAAGACATATTATGTATAAATCCAAATAAAAATCTTAAAAATAAAAACACACGCAATTAAAATTAAAATTAATAACGAAAGATATTGAAACTTTTCTTCGCAAATGTGAAATGTTCATTGAAACTTCCGCCCAATGCATGTAATATCTACACGTAAATTAATGATTTGTGATGAGGTTGTCTGGTCTGTGATTTGAACACAATCACAGACGGGTATCATTTTTGTGTTGATTGTTCATTATATGGCGAGATAATACAAAATATATAAATCACTTCTACAGAATTCAACATTTAAAGACCCCATGATTAGTACCCTTCTCAATACAGTACACTGACCAATCTTGTTAAAGGGCGGTGGTCGTCACGCTGCGCATGTACGACATTTGTGTTGACAATCATTGATTTTCCCACAATCCAATGCGATCTTCTAAGAGAAATCACAAGTACATGTATGAGGTTTGATCTGGGCGCGACTCATTGGACTAATTACCGCAGGTGACTCCTTCGATATCTTCCAATCACCTAAAAAAATACCTAATTAAAGCTTGGTAACGTCTCAGTTTGTATTCGTTCATCTGCGCAACAGTCAAAAGTGCCGTCTTGGTTTATATGAGACACCTTGAGGGACGGTATATGTATCGCGCATGCGTGGCGCGACGACTACCGCCCTTTAAGTTTGTAGTATATTTTGCATTACAGAAACGATACATTATACATGTAATAGTTTCGATGGTTTTTATATTCATGTTTGATGTCACTTCAAACAATTGTTATGTGTTGTCAAAGTTGTTTACTTTTGGCACATTCCCTCTATCAGGGACTGTGCTTTTGGGCTGGCTGCCTATAGTGCGGTGATAAATAAATTAACGTATTTTGTGAAAAGCCGGGCTGTGGTATGAATACTGCTATAAATAGGAAATATACACAACTGCCCACTTTGTGGGATGCACTTTTTTGTTTCACTCACGGTAATCAAATAACAGTGTGAACTCAGCAACATTACCAATGACGGAACGCGGGGATATATTGTGCTATCGGTGAACAACTAAATACACCAAAACAACCTATTAAGTTTCAAACAAAGTGGCTGGTGAATATTGGTACAAAGGCTAGAATTAGTTGCCTTTTTAACTTTATATTTGTGTTAAAGCTCAAGCAGGCTGTATTATTTGTTTTCGTGTATGTGTGGTTCACAAGAAAACGACCGGACAAATTGTACGAGCCGTGTTGCCTTGGTGATCGTCAAAGGGCTCGGGCTCATGACAGTTATTGATCTGGCCGGGATCAAAAGAGGTCACTTGATCGGGACGAGCTGAATATAAAATAAAGAAAGTCACAGTGAAAGAAAAATAATAAAGGAATCCTGGGGACAGAGATGACCGTTTTTATCAGTATAATATCGGGACGAGCTGAATATAAAATAAAGAAAGTCACAGTGAAAGAAAAATAATAAAGGAATCCTGGGGACAGAGATGGCCGTTTTTATCAGTATAATATCGGGCGGCTTATTTTAAAACTACTGAAAGTCACTCTAGGTGAGTCTTGGCAAAATATAGAAACCCCACAGTTTCTGGAAGATTCTTTTCATACATATGTCACTCAATACATCAACAATTTATCTTCATTACTTTTAACCGATTTTTAATATAACGTGAAATAAAAAAATACGTGTCTATGGCTCAATTTTCCATCACAGCGAGCGTGACATATCCGCTGGCATCTGGCTGAGATTTCAGCGTGCTAGAAAACGTCTCAAAACATTTCAAAGTTGACAAAAGTGTCGAAGTTTTTACGACAATGAGTGATTATGAAGCTTTAAAAAGAAGTGCGTTCACGAATCTATGCTAGCTTGTTCGTTGTTGTCAGCGAATACGTTCATGGTTGATTCACTCCTTTCTAATACCTACGCGAATACAAGCGCTCGAAAATTAAATTGGGCAGTGCTAAATTAATCCTATTCAGAAGTCGCACGGAATCCCTGCTACCACAAGGTGAAGTTTACAATTTGAAGCATATAAACAATAACATAGACAATGAGATCGATATCACTGTATTTTTGATCGACTATGTGTGTTCACGACCGTAAACCACTTTAGGATTAGAGTTTATAAACTAACATGTACTTTCTAATATAACGTGACGGGCAGCTTTTATCAGATAAAAACAGAGAGTCAAAAACACTTTAACGGTTAAAGAACGGTTTGAAAAAATATTTGCGATGATTTATAATATGTTTAGATAATTTATATCATTTTTGTGAATACATTGTTATATTTAAGTCATTGTATAAATTAGTTGACATTTTATTATTTTATAATCACCATAAATGTTTAGATCAGAAGAAATTATATGTTTGACCCGTTTCCATGTCATAATCGTCAAACAACTGAGATATACAGTGTATTTTGTACACGCGAAATGAAAACCCTATTTTTTGTGGTTAATAAACAAGAAAGAACAACTTACTATATATTGTACTTGTACTCACGTTATTCCATTTCCAATTGATTTGATTAAATCCACGAAAGCGTGTGCTCTCGAATCCAAGCAAGTCGAACGCCTGCCATTTTGTTTCTGTGTTGTTTTTTTATAGATAACAACCGTTAGTTAGCCGGAAGAATGTGACCGATGAGAGTTGAATAGCGTGGTCGAGCGCATCAGTGTTTGTACTGTTCAACTAAACCCACCCTTCGACGTATTGTTCATTGTATTGAATGGTTACCATAGGCGTCAGCGTAGACCTTATATGTTATTTGCACTGAGCTTCCAGCTCTTTCTCAACTACCGATTCTTATTTAATCAAGGAGTAATGCCGTCCGAGATAACAGAAATATGCGTGTTTAATTATTCTTACTACAAATACGCCCAACGTCCAGTATTTTCTTATATATTTCCTTCGACATATCACATTTTCAGCAGAAAACACGCGGCGACAGTTATCTACTCGAAGGGCAATCGCCGCAATGAACTGCCGTGAATAGATAGGATGATAACAAAGAACCTTCGATTTTAATGAGCAAACGGTACAATAGCTGGCAATAATAACGAGCTAAGACCGGCTATAAAAGACTACAGTTTTTGCTCTCGAGGTTTAGTTGCAGTAAAGCTGTTTATCGAGG